ATTAAGAGACCCAAAAGCAAATAATAAAGCAAATTAGCACAGTGTTCAATCATTCCAGCAACCCCCGTCCATGAAAAGAACAGAAGTATTTGAAGAGCAGCAGGCAGAGCAAGACGTGGTATACATCCGTTCATCCAGGTGTGAAATCCATGAAACCAAGGAAAATATCGTTGAGAGCAGTTTTTAATTCCACGAATAACTTCCATACCAAAAGGATTCTTAAAAGCCCAAGAAAATCTGTGAAAACTAGAAAAAAACCAAATCTATCAATAAGAACCAACCAAAGAAGAAAACAATAGGACCCCGCACCCTCCATTTAGCAAGCCAATCCGCAGATTTATTGCCTTCTCTATAAGTAAATGAGAAAAGAATGTTTAAATTATGCTCCTCCATAAATTGCCTAATACGTTTAAACCAAATTATTGCATACCAAGTAGGATTAATTTTAGCAGTAAGCATATGAAAAAGCATCTCAGAATCAGTTTCTAGAAGAAGAGTTTTCAGATCAAGGGAGACAACAGTTCTTAAAGCCATAATAACAGCAATAATTTCAGCCTCAATAGAAGAGGAAGCCATACAAGGAGAAGGAAAAAAATAACAGCAATGCCCCTGATCATCCCTAAAAATCATACCTACACCGTTGTACTCTCTAGTAAAATTCCCATCTACATTAATCTTGAGTTAATGGTTAAATTAGGTGGCCAATTAATGTCAAAATATTGACCTATGATATACCAAACTTCTTTAGCAAAACTGCAATAAAAAAACAAATGATTCCAACTTTCAGCCCCTCGTTTACAATTATAGCAGAAAGAAGCAAGCTTTAACCCTTTCATCTTAAGAATATCATCAAGAGGGAGTAATTTATGAAAAAACCTCCACAGAAAAAAAGCAATAGAAGGTGATAACATCTTGTGCCTGACATACGAGTGTCATTTCCACAAAGTGAAAGTGTGCATATGAGAATAAATCAGCTTAGTAACAGAATTACTGCCATTGTTCTTCCAATGAGGCTTATTTTTATCATGTACTTTAATAGGAATGTTAGCAATAGCAGGGGCAACATCCCCAATAATCTCCTGAAACTTAGTAATATTCCAATGTTCACCAATCCATAAATCAAAAACAAGCAAATTAACATCATAACCAGGAGATGATGTAAGGGAATATTGGGAAAGACCCCAATCATCATTCCAGAAGGAGATATTACCATCACCAATATCCCAAAAAATAAGTTGAGCAGCAGTATCCCTAGCAGCAATGATAGCTTTCCAAATCTTGGAATCTCCCACCTTCCAGTTAACATTGGCAGGATGAGTATTTTTACAATATTTATGATGCATAAACCTGGACCAAAGAGACTCCCCCAATCTGAATTTAAACCAAAGTTTACACAATTTGATATCTATAATGTGCTTGAGAGATTTAAACCCAAGACCGTCAGCACGATAAGGTTTACAAATATATTGTCATTTAGTCCAAATTTTAGCAGCTCTACCACCCTGCCACAAAAATTTATTGAAAAGTATTTCAAGCTGACTCATAGTGCTTTTTTTAGCCTTAAGCACATGCATAATGTAAAGAGGTAGAGTAGGAAGAACACCTTTAAGCAAGGTAATCTGACCCCCATTATAAAGGTAGTTATTACGCCAATCATTGATTTTAAGCTTAACCTTGTCAAACACCTCCTCCATTTGAATTTGTTAAATCCTACCTCTAATAATATTCACCCCCAAATACTTGATAGGAAGCTTAGAAACCATGCAACCCGTGTAGGTAGAGGCCCAAACCTGGGTAGTTAAAGAAACATATTTGTCAAAATAAAGAGAGCATTTAGCTAGATTAAAAATTATGCCAGAATTGTTCTGAAAAACATTCAAAATAGACATAGTGGCCTTAATAGCATGTTTACTGGCATTGAGGAACAGAATAGCATCATCTGCATAAGCTAGATGGCTAACAACAGTTTTAGATTTATGCGAGAATTGCATGTAGGCATGATCCAATTGAAGTTTATTAATAAGCCTGGAAAGATAATAAAAAACACTCATGAAGATTGTCGGGGATAAAGGATCTCCTTGTTTAATACCCCTACTAGCAGAAAAAAATTCATGAGCTTTACCATTAACCAAAACACTGTAATTGTTATTAACAAGCCACCTTTGAATAAGGAAGCAAAAATCAAGTTTGAAACCTTTAGCACGTAAAATGTTTATGACAAACTCCCAATTGATGGTATCAAAAGCTTTTTTAATGTCCAACTTAAGGATAACTTAAGGACCATATTCCCACTCTTGCATTTTTTGTCCAGCTCATCAATCATCTCTTGGGCTAAAAGAATATTGTCAGTGATATCCCTGCCTTTAATGAACGCAGATTGATTATCAGCAATAATGTGAGAGAGATGGGGTTTTAATCTATTAACAATGATTTTACTAATAACTTTGGAGATTACAGTAGTGAGTGATAATGATCTAAAATTCTCCAAAGTGATCTTATCATTACTTTTAAGAATAAGGACAATAAGAGCAGAAGTAAAATATTTACCAGGATCATGCCCCAGGGGATCATGCCCCAGAAAGCAGCTTTGAATAGCAACCACCACCTCTCTTTTAACAATATCTCAAAAATTTATATAGAAAGCAGAGGAAAAACCATCAGGATCATGAGCTTTGTTAGGGCAAATAGATTTTAAAGCCTTTAGAATTTCTTGTTCATCAGGCGGATAGGACAGATATAAGTTATTAATATAGTCATACTCCTCAGCAAAGTAAGAAGCATCAACAGGCAGAGTTTGAGAAGGAGTTTGATAAAGCTCAGAAAAATAAGTAACAACACTATCCTTTATATCCTCAACATTAATTAATAATCTCCCATCACCAGTTTTGATTTTTAAAATACTATTAATGTTTCTCCTATATTTTAGAGTGACATGAAAATACTTGGTATTTCTATCACCTGCAACAAAAGAAGAATCATTAGCCTTTTGCTTGAGCAGATTTTCCTCAGTATTAATAGCATCCATAAGAGTAACATGAGCTTGTGCAACAAAATCCAAAAGATACGTGTTAGTAGGAAGTTGTGCCTCCAAAGTATCAACAACATGTTGTGCCTCTTTAACTTTAGTGTGGACAATACCAAAGACCTGATAATTCCATTTAACCAGATGGGCAGACATTTTCTTGTGCAATTACCACAAAGTAAACCAAGGATTCCCAGCTCCATCAAATTTCCAAGCCTAAGTGACCAAATTAAAATAATTTTCCATGAATAGTCCAAACATTTAAAAATTTGAAACGAGATATGTTTGGTTTAACAGTGAAAGCCAAAGTAAGCAATGAAAGGTTATGATCAGAAGTAGCAAAGTTCAGGTGCTGCACTTTAACAATAGAAAAGTGATTAATAAATGAAGGATTGGAAAAAAACCGATCCAATCTCTGATAAA